TAGCGAAAATGTGTTCACTGTGTTCCAGTAAGCAAGTAGAATGCAATGAACACATTTTCTTGAACATAATTTTGGGTTTGAACGAAAAAACCGCTTTTGAATGTTTGAAAATTAATGACTTTCACCTTAACTCCACACAGCTCACCGATTACAGCCTTCGGCGCATACAAAAAGAAGTCCAATAAAACAAAGCCACTTTTGCTCCAGTGACCTGCGCTTTTTCGCTTTCGCTTATCCGTGCTGTCCGTTGCTTATTCACACATGCACACTGCGCTGAAGTAGCGGTCACCTGTGTCTTCGTATTCCGCACACGGCTGCAGCTACTGACCGTTAAAAAAAATGAAAGTTTCACCTTTCCCTTTCACCCTTCGCCCGGAGGTGAAAATTGCAAGCCCAAGACGTTGAAAGTAAAAGTTTGAGCATTTTGCCAGAAGATTACGACGATGACGACGACGACGACGATGACTTTCGCTTGTATCTTCCCTTAAAAAATTCGCCTTCTTTGATCGGACCAAAAAAATCTTCTCCGTTTCCACGGTGACGGCTCTGCCGCTGGGAACTTCGATGCCAAGGCGGCAACCATGCGAGAAAAAAATCGCACTTTTAACTAGCAACGTGCCGGAACTGATTGTATACAATCGATAAGCGTAACATCACCATCAAAGCCTGTGCAGTTTATTCGAGCGAACTGTGTAAAATATGCTCAGCTGGCGCTAATGAACACGATGAATTAACTGTTAATTACAAATGTTGAAGCACTCGACGAAGCAGCGGCGGTCTGTGGAATGGTTTTCATATGCCGCTCTAATGATTGATTTTTTTTACGGTTTCCTGAGAAGAATCTCTTCACGCGTGGTTTCGTTCTTGAATTTGCATACATCGTAGACATGCAAGTGAAAATTGATCGACTTCAAGGCTCGGTTGTGAACGGACAGACCCGGAGAGTGGTGTCGACTGACGGCAATTTCGGCAGTGTTCGAAAACAGCTTGAAATTCGCCGGGTTTTTTTTTCCTTAAATTGACAGACTGACGTGATTCTCAAGAAGATCAACGATTATATCTGAACACATTGGAGTACCTGTCCGCATCCAAGCAAAGACGATGCGCAATGACAGCGGATTCTACCATTTAACACAAATTGCGCACTTTGCAGCCGGTGTCGAAGGTGCGCGCATTTATTATTCTTACGAAGCGGCGATGATGGATCAAACGGGTCAAGGCCAACTACGATTCAGCTCCGTGCCTATTAAGCGGCTGCAGCAATTTATGTATACCGTACGCGCAGCAGCAATTAATTACGAATCGTAGCAACACGTGCCTTCTTGGGTGCAAAACCTACTGCAATTTTACGCGCTGCTGGGAAATCTTACTGGTCATTCCAAAAGCCGCGCAAGGCTGGTGCGTGCGGCAGAAAGGGGAAGATCCGTCCGTTATTCCGCTTCGTTGAGCCTGTCGGGATGAGAGGGTGTGGAACGTTTTTCACAACTCGAAGTGTTACTTTTTTATGATCGGAGATGTTAACGAGTATAACTGTAAAGTGTCTGGAAATTGGATCGGAGATAGTGATCGAGAAATTCTGACGCTCGAAATAACTTAATTAACTGATTGAGCACTTTCTCTTCCCAAAGAAAGCCCCAGAACATCAGCCAATTGACTTATGATGGCAGTTTCGTCGTGTGTCTCTATTTAGTTCCCGGTCAATGCTTTCATTTTCTCGAGTACAAGCAGCAATCTCGTGCGCCAAGTGGCTGGTGGTTCAAAATAAGAGGCCTGTATCTAGATGACTTTTTGATCTTCTGAAGCAGCAGCAGTAGCACCCATGTGTTCCTCTTCATGTGAGTGCATATTGCCGAAGAAAACATATCCCGAAGACTGGCTACTCTCCTGCTACCGTTCAAAAGTAAAACGGACGAATTTGATAGCAAAGAAAATATGATAAACTGCACTACCAGTCTTGTTGATCTGCTGTCTTCGGTTCGGTTGGTTTCCTTGTTTATACTAACGGAGATTCCGTCGTCATCTCGTCACATGCTTCCTCCCCGAAGAAGTACATAGACGGAGGACGGGTGATCCAGTGCAATGTAGGCAGTCAGTGTGAATTTGTTTCTATTTGGTTGGTAAATATTTTAACGAGTCTCAGCAGAGAGAGACGCGGCCGTCGAGTGAGTGAGTCTCGTGCCCATTGCGTTCGCTACACAAGAAATAGGATAAGCCGAGTGTGGCAAGTGTCGGATTATCTCGCGTGACAGTTTGGTCCATGAGCTGGTGGAGTAGAAGAACAAAACTTGGTTGATCTAAATCTAACTAGTTGAACCATTTGGGATTTGCTTTCAAGTCGCAATCCAGGATCATTGATTAAATTGTGATGGAATATCGAAGTATCGAAACTTCTCCACGCCGCTCAATCGGTTCTAAATCAGGTCCTGGTAATTTTCCTAAAATCTGCTGCGATATCATACTGCACTGGCCCTTTGAAGTTTATATGGGAAAAGTGAACTATTTGTTCACCTTATTCTAACCTTTCATCATAATGATTTATGGATACATTTTCGATCTGTGTTTGTAGGAAATTTTCCCAGGTAAAATAAGTTAATAATAGATGATATGTTAGAAGAAGGTAACCGGAGACTAGTCATCAATACGTTAGCCATAAGTACGATTCGATTGCCATAACAGACGTTAGCCATAATAGACGATTGCCATAATGTTGTTATTTGTTGTAACAATCCCGAAAATGTATTGTCCTTTGGTTTGTTTTCCGTCGATCTTGTTTTCCGTGCTGAGCACCAATGCTACCGATGCCAGGGAGGCAGCTCCCACACCTGGATCCTACCTATCAACCCATCAACTCATGAATCGGGGACCAACGGCTTTGCTTCCCTTCCCGTGATCAGAGATGTTATGCCTCAGAACATCCCGGCGGCACCGAATGGGATTGAACCTAGGCCTGCTGGGGTGAGAGGTAATCATGCTTACCACTACACTACCGGCGCCGCTAAGCCCAAAAACGAACGGGCTTATTTTGAATTTTCTTTTATGATTCCGATGATTTTGGACCACCGAGAAGTAGAGAGGAATCATCTTCATGACTAAGACTTTAATAATTTTAATTTTATTAAAATTTGTGATCGCATGGAGCAAAAATACATAATCTTCCAAATCCGTTTAATCGTACCCCGTCCTAAAATCGAACGGCTTTGTGGTTTTGTTGCCAAAATCGTACGGATACTGTACTCACAAATAATTTTTCTCTTTAGAAAAATGCAATGGAAATGTACAAATCATTTCTTGCTTTGAGTTGACTCCTTCTTTATACTATAAGTTCTAGATAGAGCAGGAATTAGGGCGTAACAGCTTTTGTAAACAATGACTTCTTTCGATAATTTCTAGAAAGTCAAGGCTCGCCAACGCAAATCAAAATCACCATCGGGTAGAGGAAGACTGACCCCTACCCGATGGTTATGTTGGTTTGCGTGAGTGTGCCTTGAATTTCTAGAAATCATACGCCCTAATTCCAGCTCTATCTAGAGTTGTTCTTTAACGGATAAATGCTTTTAAAAATTCTATCACAAAATACTCCAGTGGCGTCCCGTAAACTCACTTTTTACCGGTGCACCAACTTTCAAAACCAGATTTAATGTCATATTAATACTCGAATCGGTTAAAAAATACACTTAATCTTCTAGTTTACTCGATATCTATTCGTTGCAAGCAATATTTAGATAATTGTTTATGATTTGAGAGTTCGTGCACAGATAGATTGAGGTTAAGGAAACGCCACTGAAATACTCATATATTATGTTGCTCTTGCAGGGCTGGTAGTAGGTCACTTTTTAGTGACTAGGTCACTATTTCTAAGTCTCACTAAAAAGTCACTTTTTTCACCAAAAAGTCACTAAAATCACTATTTCCCTAAAAATAGTCACTTAAGCCCCTTTTTCCCATGTGAAAAACATCAGCAAAATGTTTAAATTGAGTACTTGGCACTAAGGAAGTCTACAGTAGAAATATGCATATCTGTTTAAAAATAAACAATTAGAACCAGAGTGACCGGAAAAAATCGAGGCATTTTAAAACACTGTGCAAAAAACTGCGAAAATCCTTGAATTTCAAGGACAAATCCAGGAAAATAAACTTCGTTTTTCCGAAAATAAATTTAATCCGAAACAAATATCAAGTTTTTCTTTTGTCAACCCCACCCATCAAAATTTTGGAATATCATAAAGGGAAAAAAAAACTACAAGGGACAGCCCTATGGGGTTGTACGCAATGGTGACGTAGGACTACGTTATACGTTATATAATAAATGGTAATGTGTATCTTTATTCAGCCAGGTATTAATCTGAGCCATATTTTAATTATTTTCCTTACCTCATTTTTATATTTTCATTTTCTGTTCTATTTACTATCGTACAGATTTGTCTTGAATCTGATGAAATATTGCTTGGAGCCAATGCCCATGATTGTGCTGGGTAATTAAAATTTTTATTCAACAGATTGCGTTCAACGTATCCACATCGTATAATGGCCGCACCAAGCAGACCGCTCGTAAGTCCACCAGAGGAAAGGCTCCTCTCAAAAAGATGGAGGAGTGAAGAAGTCTCATCGCTACCGGCCAGGAACTGTCGCTCTGCGTGAGATCCGTCGTTACCAGAAATCGACCGAGCTGCCTTTTAAGCGTCTGGTCCGTGAAATCGCCCAGGACTTCAAGACCGATCTGCGCTTCCAGAGCTCGGCCGTTAATGGCCCTACAGGAATTCAGCGAGGCCTATCTGGTCGGTCTGTTCGCCATCCATACCAAGCGTGTCACAATTAATTCATGTTCCATCTACGTCAAAACCGTACGGTCGTGTCATGGATGCAACCTCTTATTCTTTTTGTCAACATTATTTTCATAAGGCAAATCAACTAATTTTCTTATCGCGAACTTTGCTAACGCTGATTTCGAATATTTAAAAGTTCAATAAATCATCAAAACCTCTTTCACGTTGGAAATCGATTTGTGGCCCTGAAAAGGGCCGATTGATTGTTTGGATGGTACGGATTTACTTGGAGCTAGTGTACTTGGTGACGGCCTTGGTTCCTTCAGAAACAGCGTGCTTGGCCGACTCACCCGGCAGCAGCAGACGGACAGCAGTTTGGATTTCGCGGGAGGTGATCGTCGAGCGTTTGTTGTATTGAGCCAGACGGGACGACTCAGCAGCAATACGTTCGAAGATGTCATTGACGAAGCTGTTCATGATGCTCATGGCCTTCGACGAGACTCCGGTGTCCGGGTGGACCTGCTTCAACACCTTGTAGATGTAGATGGCACAGCTTTCTTTCCTGCGCTGTCTCCTCTTCTTCTTCTCTCCCTTGACGATGACTTTCTGTGCCTTTCCGGACTTCTTGGCGGCCTTTCCACTGGTTTTCGGTGCCATAATTTAGCTGTTCGCTTCGGTAGAGAATAACTGATAGTCGTTTCGACGGTGGTGTCTTGTTTTGTGCCCGTAGCATAAGAAGCGAAACTCCTCCCCTTTTCAGTATTTTGCTTCCCACTGCATGTATTGTACTCTCCCTGTATTAATAATATGCTACTCGACGCAGGTATAAGTATACCCTCGATGAGTGAAATAAACCGACCCATCATTAGCTGCTTGAACGTCAAGCAGTACAGTTCGGTCTTTGCTCGCTCTGTCGAGTTGTTCGATTAACCTATAGTTTGTTACAAACGTTCGCAGATATACTGCACGTCGCGTCGTCAGTAGTGTCGGTCGCATAGCGTGATGGGAAGACAGCGCTCTCGGAGCAGACTTCGTGACCAAGCGGAGAAGAAGAACAGTGGTGAGGGTAGCTCGGTACCTACCTCAAATAGGTACGCTACTCTGCCCACCGATGTTAGAAATACCAACCCAGTCCCGGTGAAGCGGACGAAAAAGAGGAAGAAGAATCAAGGACAGTCCGATGGTACGAGCGGACGCGACGATGTTACCGCGACGAACGCCAGCGACATCGGTGATTTCGGCGACGCCGTCGAAACCGAGAATTCTGCCGGCCCGAGTGCGGTGAAAATCAAGCTTCCTCCACTGGTGGTGAAGCAAGTACCACTCAACACGCTGATTGGCGATCTCTCATCGCTGGGCGTTGCCGCTGAATTTAAGCTCGGCAGGATCGGCACCAAGGTGATGCTGCGAACAAAATCGGAGTACGAAGTGGCCGTGAAATATCTGAAGGATTCCAAGGCGGAATTCTTCACGCACGACATCCCCGGTGAGAAGCCCTTCAAGGTAGTCATCAGGGGTCTACCAAATTTCGACCCCAAGATGGTCGAAGCTGAAATCAATCGGTACAAGCTAGCCCCAATCGCTGTATTCCGAATGACAAGGAGAGACGAAAACGCGAAGACGTACCCGGATTGCCTCTTCCTGGTGCACTTCCAGAAAGGGACGGTGACTCTCAATGCGCTGCAAGCCATCCGATCGATCTACTCCATCATCGTACGATGGGAGCCATACCGTGGCGGCCATCGTGACGTAACGCAGTGCCAGCGGTGCCTCAATTTTGGTCACGGTACCCGCAACTGCAACATCAAGCCACGCTGCAGCAACTGCGCTCAAGAACACGCCACTTCCAACTGCCCTGCGGATGGAGCCGTGGCGTTAAAATGCGCCAACTGTGGTGGTGCACATCAAGGTTCCGACAGACAGTGCTCCAAACGCGAGGACTTCAAACGCATCCGAAAACAGGCGTCAAGCAACAATCAACCAGGACGCAAGAAGGACAAAACCCCAGCATTCAGGACGGAGGATTTTCCGCCTCTTCGTGCTCCCCAGCAAAGGCAAGCGAATTCGCGGGTGCAACCCGCCCCTCCTCAAGAAGCTTCCGGTGATTCTGCTGGCCAAAGCTCTCCATCCCCCCCTGGATTCTAGAGACAACCAACAACGCAAAACAACAACCCCGATCTGTTCTCAGCGGATGAACTGATGGAAATTTTCGTCAACATGTCCGGTGCTCTTCGTAAGTGCCGCAATAAGCCCGAACAGATCCAAGTGCTCGGTAAGTTCATCATCCAGTATGGCGTCTAAACCGCTAACTATCGTCACCTGGAATGCTTGCTCCGTAAGAGCAAAAAGGATTGAGCTTGCCGACTTCCTCCGCAAGCACAGCATCGACGTGGGCCTTCTAACCGAGACCCATCTAAAGTCCGGCGACAGCTTCTGGTTGCCTGACCACAACATTATCCGGCTTGATCGCACCAGCTCCAGGGGGGTGGTGTTGCGATCGTCGTCAAGAAAGGAATAAAATACCACACTCTGTCCCATATCCGCACCTCTATCATCGAGGCCCTTGGTGTGGAGGTGGAGTCGTCGACTGGATACGTCCAGTTCATCGCCGTCTACTGCCCTCGACAGTGTGCCGCCAGCAGTGGACTAGCGGCTAAATTTAAGAAGGACCTGTCCACCATCACCCGTACCGGTTCCCGCTTCGTAGTTGGAGGAGATCTGAATGCTCGCCATGAGGCCTGGCGGAACTACCAGCAGAACCAGAACGGTCGTCTCCTGTTCGACCACTCACAGCATGGGCTGTACTCCGTTTGGTTTTCGGATGAACCAACATTCATCTCACCGGCGGGCAACCCATCGACGCTAGACCTGTTCCTGACAAATATCGGCTTGTCCAAGCCGGTAGCCTTGAACGAACTCAGCTCCGACCACCAACCGGTGGTGTCTGAGCTGGGCTGCAACGTGGCTCCTGCTTCAAGCCTGCGCAAGGACTACCATCACGTAAACTGGGCCCAATTTGGACGCGTGGTAGACAGGCACATCATCGACAGCCCGCCGTTTGACACCGTGGAGGACATCGACCGAGCGTTGGAGGGACTCCACCAAGCCATAACCGTGGCTGACGAGACGTGCGTCCGACGAGTTCCTGTGAGGGGTAAGTTTATTGCTATTGATTCCCACACCCAACTCTTAATTCGCCTGAGAAATGTTCGTAGACGCCAGTTTCAGAGGACTGGAGATCAAGCGAGGAAACGTGAAATGGCCGATCTGAACAAGGAGATTGCTTCCAGAATGGTCTAACTCCGGAACAAAAGTTTCGGGCGGCTTGTCCAGAATCTGGACGACCGCTCCAGACCATTCTGGAAAGTTGCCAAGGTCTTAAAGACGCACCCTAAACCCATTCCGCCACTAAAAGATGAAAATGATGACGATCGGCTCATAATTACCCCTCAGGAGAAAGCAAATGCGATTGGTGAGCATATTGCCAAATCGCACATGCTTGGCTCCAACATCCAAAGTCCGCTCGAAGTTCAGGTTGAGCAATGCGTACTCAACCTTGATTCCTCCCCTTGTGCCATCCCTCCGGAGGATAGAATCACAGTGCAACAGATTTGCTCAGCGCTGAAATGCACCAAAAACATGAAGGCCCCCGGGTTTGACGGAATATTCAACCTAGTGTTGAAAAATCTCAGCATGAAGGTTCACTCTCTGCTGGCTGCTGTCTTCAACAGATGCTTGGAACTGCACTACTTTCCAAGTATCTGGAAGACAGCGAAAATCATACCTATCCGCAAACCCGGGAAGGACCCAACGCTAGCTTCAAGCTACAGACCAATCAGCCTCCTTTCAGCGCTGAGCAAATTGTTCGAGAAACTCATTCTCAATCGTTTGCTCAAGTTTGTCGAGGAAAATAACATTCTCCTTCCGGAACAGTTTGGTTTCAGAAAGGGGCACTCCACCAATCACCAGCTAGTGCGGGTGATGAATAACATCCGAAGTAACAAAGCTGTATCCAAGTCCACAGCCATGGCCTTGTTAGACGTTGAGAAAGCGTTTGACAATGTCTGGCACAATGGGCTTGTATACAAGCTTTGTAACTTCAACTTTCCATTACATCTGGTTAAAATCACCCGTAGCTCCAGCAAAGGTCGTTTAAGGTATCGTTGAATGGTTGTCTTTCAGACACGTTTTCCATCCCAGCAGGAGTCCCGCAAGGTAGTCTGCTGGGCCCCTTGCTTTACAGCATTTACACTTCCGACATTCCTCCCCTTGGAGACGGTTGCGTGTTTTTCCTGTTCGCAGATGATACCGCAATAGCCGTCAAAGGAAGGATGCCTCGCGAAATAACGAACAAACTTCAACGATGCCTTAACGTCTTTGCTGATTATGCCACCACGTGGAAAATCAAAATCAATGCTTCCAAAACACAAACAATCATGTTCCTCCATCGGCAATCACCCAAACTAAAACCGGCTCCCTCTTGTACTGTAATCATGGATGGCACAAGGGTTGAGTGGTCCGCCGAAGTAACCTATCTCGGGATGTTGTTCGATGAAAAGCTCCTCTTCCGTTCGCATGTAGAGAAAACAGTAGTCAAGTGTTCTGTCTTGGTTAGGTGTCTGTATCCGCTGATTTGCCGCAGATCCCGCCTCTCAAGGGTGAACAAACTGGCCGTCTACAAACAAATCATAGCACCTGCGATCCTCTACGCAGCTCCGGTGTGGGAATCATGTGCACAGACTCACAGGAACAAAATTCAGGTCGCACAAAATAGAGTGCTGAGGATGGTTCTTGATCGTCCTTTCGACACTAGAATAACAAATTTACATGAAGAGGCAGGCATTGCCAAAATAGATCCCAAAATTAACGAAATTAAGACTAAATTTGCACAAAAATGTAATTTATCAGAACATGCTTTGATAAGCAATTTGTATATAGTAGGTTAGGTGTACATAGTAGTTGTAGGTTAGTTGTAGTTGTAAATAGTAGTTATAAGTAGTCTCCTTTTTCCAATTCAAATCAAACCAATCCCACCAAGGTGGTCATACTTTAAAATAGGCCTGATAGGACTAGGAACTGTAAATAATAATTAAAATATCAAATGTACTAAAGTTGAAAAGACGCATCTGTGTCACTTGAAAATTCATACATGTAAACCACACAATCACAAGAAATAAAGATCATTTAAATGCAAAAAAAAAAAAAAAATGAAGTAAACCGACCTATCTGGTCGGTCTGTTCGCCATTCACGCCAAGCGTGTCACAATTATGTCAAAGGACATTCAGCTGGCTCTTCGTATATGTGGTGAACGCTCTTAATTTTTCCGTCGAAATCTATCAAAACCGGCCCTTTTCAGAGCCACTAAAAGATTCCACAAGAGAGTTGGGAAGGAAATTTCTGCTGCTTACAACTGATCGCATCACAGTGAATCCTGATCTAAAAATTGCAACCAGCAAGTGCCCTAGAACCAAGGGTTTAGAAGCAGAAGGGTGAAAGCCAATTCGCTTTTTCGATTTCCTCTTTTGTGATGACCATAGCTTCCTATTTCGCACTATTTCTGCTATGCTCTTCTGTCATCCACAACAATAAACGTATCAATGAATGTGTTTGCCGTCGAGTTAACGTTATCTGACCGTGCACTTCGTAGTTGCTCCTCCGTGAATGATCACAACTAATCCACTTGCACAGAGAACTACATAGATGGGTG